CCCCTCCTGATCTCGGTCGCTATCGTCATCTGATGTTGCGTGGCTTCCCAAGGCACAAATGCTGGCCATAACCTTTTCGATCGCGTCGGAGCATATTCCTGCTTTTTGTATAGCTCGTAGATCGTTAATTCGCGTCTTGCTCAACTAGAGCAGAGTATTTCAGGTGAACATATCAAGGTGTCTAAGCAAGGAGTACATACGGATACTTTACGACTGGTACGGCGCGAGTCGCGGTCATGAAGCAACTTCTCGTTACTGGTCTTCTTCCATTCACCCTTCTTGCCCACAATGAAGACCAAAAAATCTTCGGCGATTTGAGATCGACGCCGCTCTTGCTCCTCTCCCCCATTCGGGCCAACAGGAAGCGCCACATTCACTCCGTCCACCTCGATTTGCTCGAGGAACCAGCCGGCAAACTGATCGCAAGCGCGTACCGTCCATTCAGATCTAGTTTCGTTCAGGGGTGTGTTCCAATCGATGCAGAAACCAGCCCTTGACTGATTTGGCTCCTCGGTGGTAGCTATAGTGAGGCCTGGGATGGTGGATGATGCAGGAGGAGGCTTTGCTTGAATTGCTTGCAAGTCGGTAGGCGTAGGCCTTGGCCAGTCTTGAACCTTGCTCTGTGGCGTGACACCAAGAGCTCTGTATGCGTATTGTCGTACTACAGCCTTGGGGAATAGGTCAGACAGAATGCTATCAGTTAGGTCAACTCACCCTTCTATCGTTATCAGCTCTGCTTTTGTGCCGAGGTAGGCTCGCAGGCGGTCCAGGGTCACTCAATGAATCGACGTCCATCGCGACATGCGACTTCGTTAGTTCCAAGAGATGATTCGAAGCTTTGTTCGCGTCTATGAGGTATGCCCGAAGCTGTGCAAAAGTATCGCCGATAGATGTCATGATTAGAGGCCTATCGATGCGATGAACACAACCAACACACGTCAGTAGAGTTATAATAGAAATGCCAAGAGGATATGCATGTCGAAACACACAGTCATGTGTCGGGTTCCTCAAAGGGATTTGTGGCCATGAGCCAGAGTTGTCGAGCTCATGAGAATAGAAAGAGGGGGCTGCGGAGATATGGACTCACGAGCTATTCCTTGATGACAGGTTTGATACGGGGTGCTAGAGGTGGCCAAGACGTGGACAGAGCCTTTGAGCGTGGTGTTCTTTCTCCAAGAGAAGGACAACACGTACTATTAGATCTCTTGAAGACGCTTTCTGGATAGTGAAAAGAAATCAGCGAGATACTCTCAAAAGCAAAGTTGTAAAGGGTGTTGATGGCCCTCGGTTCGCAGGCGTATCGTCAGGAATGGATGAGAAGAACCGACCATACTCACTAAGCGTTTTTGTTGTACCCGTGTAATATGACAGAGATAACCTGCGAGAGTTTGATACCAAAGGATATGGGGCTGCGACAATCAACTTTCAGATGTGGCGGAGATCAAAGATGGA